CAGCTTTACTCAACAGACATACCTAGTATTATTGTTATTCAAGTTGAAAATTAAACCATAGGACAATTTTATTTTCAAAAGGGGGCTACCATGAAGTTCATTTAAGACTCTTCAATCACTGGCAAATAAACCTGAATCCTAGGAAAATTTATTTTATTACATAAATTTTTTCGTTTCAAGAGAGATGACTAAAGATGTTAGCAAAACTTCATTTCCTGCCAATATATTTGGTGATTAAGCATATTTAACAAACAGCAATGCTAAATGGCTTTATAATACTTAATAAGCAAGCAATCTCTTTTCTGATATATGCAGAATCAATTCTAATACAGACTTTTCTCTATATACCAAGACTAGTATGGAAATTTTTTCCTAACCACCCAGCTGCTACAATGTTAAATAAATTAATTTTAATCTTAAATCAGAGATGTAATAGAGGAATGGGTGATTTAATATGCAATCTCATTACATTTGACAGGCTTATTTATAAATGGTTTGCTCCACATTTTGACAAGCATAGTTAATATGTTAATTAGCTCTTAAAAAGATGATGAAAGGAAGAGACTGGCGTGCTATCACTCTGCACACGGCGTTGAGGGGCGCTGAGTTTGATACCTAAAAGCACCAGGATGTTGAGATAATCACTTATTAGCTACAGATAACTTTCATCTGACGTTTAAGAGTAATCCCTTAAAATAACCCCAAGTATCCTCAGACTTAGGAAACCAAGGTAGCTCTAAGCATATTTAAAAGCTTCTATTAGGAGTATGAAGTTTAAGATCGACAACCTCGACCTCCCAGCTAGAGTGGCATTCCATGGCAAGAGCGGAGCTGCACAGAGAGGCTGCTTAAAGGCCAGCTCAGCAGATTAAAGCGCCTGCTTAGGCAGACGCAGGGGCCAGGGGTTCGATCCGTGGCCTGCTGTGCTGGTAATGGACCCAGGGTGTGCTGAGATGGTGACTGAGACTGAGCGTGGGGGCGCACGCAGGTAATCTCAGTGCTTGGGAAGCTGAAAACGGAAGGATCACTACAACTCTGAGCTGTGTGATGAGACCCTGTAGACCCTGTACTAAACACATAAAAAATACCCCCCCAAAACAGAGAAGCTGCTTTCACATCTGAGCTTCTCCTTGTGTGCTTTCCAGAACATGGTGAGCGGTCTTGGTTCAGAAGTTTAGCAATGACTTCCAATGCTCTGACTTTCAAAGACTTATAAAATACAGGAATTAAGAGGAGTTATACAAGAGACAATGTTCAGCATGACTTGTCTGCTTAGATCCTTCTTTATGAAGGGAGACAAAGATTTCAAAAACAATCTTCCTTGATGATTTTCAAGTCCCACAGTGTATCCACACACAAGCAAACCACTGGAGACCTATGGGAACAGATCATAAGAGTCCACCTCTGATTTCATCACTTGCTGACAATGTTAATGCCTCCGTGTCTTCATTAATATTTTCATTGCCTGTGGCTATTTAAACAGAAAACTGAAAAATGTAACACAGCTCAGGGATCATTAGTTTTTAGTTAGTACCCTACTGCTCTTGTTGTTTAATGAACTATAGAAATAGCCTAAAATTACTGGCACCTGCCTCCCTGCTATTGTCCATGGGTTAATAATATTTACACTTTTCTTTGGTGCAGTTGACTCATGATTCGAGCATAGTCTCCTTCCAAGGTGTCTGAATATCCAGCATCAGTGTCATTGATTATATGAAAATCACTGTCCTGTGACTTTCTAACTGGAGAAACACACATATTTTATCTGACTTATAGCATAATAACAACATAGCTTTTAGAAAATGGCTTGGAATGAAATCAAATTCAGAATGGCAGGCACAGCATAGACATAATTCAGATTTTAGGGCTTAGAAGTAAAGAGAAAATCAGCAGGGGGAGCTGCTCAAACCTACCACATTTGATACTAGTTTTGGCAATCAATAATATCGACATATAGACAAGAGGGCATTTGGGGTCCACTATTTTCTATCTGTTTTCCTGCCTTCCTCTTAAATAACAGACTTCTTAGGCTTCCATTAGGTCTCTATTTAAAGTGAATTGGCAGGAAGTGCCACAGCCAGCTTTCTGGAACATGAACACACACACACACACACACACACACACACACACACACACAGTTAAAATGACTGCAAAAAAGAGATGAGATCTCCAATATATCAGAAAAAGAGATAACAGTGAGCCAGAGTCGAGGCAGTGCTTTGCACATTAAAGAGCACTTTTAAAAGTGCCTGAACCAGCCTGTGGGGTATTAAAAAGTTTCTCCCGAGGATGAACGCACAGTCCTGACTGAACTGCCAAGCAACTAAGACAAACCTGGCTCCGAAGCACAAAAGCTTCCAAACTAGGCTACGTTTGGCAAAGTCTTAACTGAACTCGCTGTAAGACAACCTAAGGTTTCCTTTAAAAAGGGAGAAAGGCAGAAAGGAGGAAGTAAAGGAGGAAGGGAGTAACTGATGTCCTGAGGTCTGTCCTTTATCTCTTCCCCTTCCCTTTCCCTTCCCCTTCCCCTTCCCC